TTTTTTTTTTAATTTAAAGGGATAGGGCTGAGGATGTGGCTCAAGCGGTAGCGCGCTCGCCTGGCATCCGTGCGGCCCGGGGTTCAATTCTCAGCACCACATACAAACAAAGATGTTGTGTCCGCCGAAAACTAAAAAAATAAATAAATATTAAAATTCTCTCTCTCTCTCTCTCTCCCCTTAAAAAAAAAAATTTTAAAGGGATAGAGATGTAGCTCAGTGATAGAGTTATTGCCTAGTATGTGAAAGGCCCTGGGTTCAATCTCTGGTATAGAAAAAGAAAAAATAAATAAAACAAAAAAACTTTTCCCAGCCTTTTTGTTTTGATACCAGGGATTGAATCCAGGGGCACTTAACCACTGAGCCACACCCCCAGCCCTTTTTATATTTTTTATTTAGAGACAGGGTCTTGATAAATTGCTGAGGCTGGGGCTGGGGTTGTGGCTCAGAGGTAGAGTGCTCGCCTGGTATGTACGAGGCCCTGGGTTCGCTCCTCAGCACCACATAAAAATAAACAAATAAAATAAAGGTATTGTGTGAAAAAAAAATGCTGAGGCTAACTTTGATTCACTATCCTCCTGCCTCAGCCTCCCAAGCTGCTGGGATTACAGATGTGTGCCACCATGCTAAGCTTTCTTCCCATCTTATGCTATTTTTGTTTTGTTTTGTTTGTAGCAGGGATTGAACCTGGGGGTGGGGTGCCAACAACGGAGCCATATCACTAGCCCTTTTTGTTTTTAATTTTGAGACAAGGTCTTCTAAGTTGTTTAGACCCTCACTAAATTGCTGAGGCTGGCCCCATACTCATGGTCCTCCTGCCTCAGCTTCCTACATCACTAGGATTATAGGTCGGCACCACCATGACTGGCCCGCCTTAATTAATGCTGTTCTTAAGTGTACAGTTTGGTACTTTAGGTATATTCACACTGTTGTGTACGCCATCCTCAGACCTTTTTCATCTGGCAATACTGACATAATATACCCATTAAACAACTAAAAAATTGGTAAACTTTACGGTATGTCTATGACATCTCAAGAGAGATATTAAAAATACAAGAAAAAAAATTTTAACACTGCACCCCCCAGTTGACATTGTGCTTATTTTGAGACCAAGTTCAAATGTCACTTCTGGAGCTGGCGGGTAGCTCAGCATCAGAGTGCTTCTAGCATGGGAGAGGGCCCAGGCTGACCCCCAGCACCAGACACACACACATATATACTTTCTCTCTCTCACACACACACATACACAATACCCCCCCAAACAAATATCACTTCTAGAATCTTATGACTCTCTTCTGCCCTTTTCGTACCCAATCCTCAAACAGAGCACCTACTTTGGACAAAGCCCCCACCCTCCATGGTTACCCTGGCCTTCAGACCATAGTACAGGGGTCTACAGTGGGAGGCTGAAGTTAGCTGGGAGGTGGAGGCCTGGTCCCTGGTGGCTGTATTCTAGAGGAGAGGCATACTGGGGATGGACCAGGGACACTTTACCACTGATCTACATCCCAGCCCTTTTAATTTAATGTTATTATTATTATGATTACTGAGACAGGGTTCTCAGTAAGATGCCAAGGCTGGCCTCAAGCTTGTGATCCTCCTATCTCAGACTCCCCAGTTGCTAGAATTACAGGAGTGCACCTCTGCCCTCAGTCCTGGTCACTGCTTTTGATGATAGGCTGTGTGACCTTGGGCAAGACAATCTTGCCTGAACCTCCAGCTCCCGGCCTGGCAGTAGGAGGCTCTGTGGGTCTGTTCCTCTCATTTGTTGTGAATATGGGAAAGTCTTTGCCTTCTGAGCCTGGAGGTGAGTAAGCAGAGAGATTTGGGACTCCCCTTTGCAGATGAAGACACCAAGGGCAAGGCTGATGAAGATTTCTGAGCAAGGGGGGCGCTGTCTAGGTCTCCAGGGATAAGGTCCTGGATCCCACCCAGGAAACTGTGGCCCTTAGTAAAGGCCTCTGCCTTCTGTTGCTCTAGAAGGTGGGTATCTCTTGAGCACCCAGGTTTCCTCTGTAGCATGGAATGGTCACAAGGGCTCAAAGCAAGGTGGCACAGACTCTAAAAAGGCCCCAGAACCTCCCTGACCTCATTGTCCAGCTTCATTACCCTCTCCTGCTGCTCAGCATAGACCAGTTGTTCATCCAGACAAAATTTCAGGGTGGAGATTTCACAGCAGTTCAGGGAAATAAAGAGAAGATGGGGACCCCAGGTTTCAGTAAGGGAGCCCAGGACTGCAGACTGGGAACTTCTGTCCAGAATATCAAACTTCTGGGATTCTAGCTGTGCCTTGGATACCAAGCCATACAGTTTTGTACCTTCCTCCCCAGCACATCTTGAGGACAGGATGGCTGGAGACATCCACCTGGGAAGTCAGGCTGCCTGGGGTGGGTGGCAGCTCCAGAGGAGCACCTGCTCTGATGCTTTGCCACTCCAGGACTGGCCCTTTAAACCACAGACCATGATGTCACCGCAGACAGCAAGAGATGGGAGGGGGACTGCAGGCCTTAGGATGGACTGCATTTCCCAGCAGCCTCTGGCAAACCACACCCCTCCCAGCAGGCATTGGGGCACATCGGACTATTAACTGGTCCAGTGCCGGTTACAGAGGGTTTCGGAAGTGCCAGGCCATTGGGGGTGAGGGCGGGGGTCTTATGAGGATGGCCTGGGAGCACAGATGGCCCAGGTCAAATTCTCCGGCCTGCTATAGCGCGCTGGGCCTCCTTCCTGCCAGCGTACTGGCATCATTCTCAGTTTCCTGGTGCAAACTCCTGCGTCCTCCTCTTTCCCTACGCAGAATCCAGGCATCCAGCCCCGGCTGGAGCCCGTCCCATTCCGTTCTCCGGGTTCCAGAGCCTCAGCCCCTGCCGCGGAGCCCGCGCTCAGGTGTTACCCCTTCGCTCTGGTCGCTCCCTTTAAGCGGGGCGGGGACTACATTTCCCAGCGGCCCCGGGTCCTTCCTGACGCAGCCCCCCCAGTCGCGGGGAGGTGCGGGCCGGGAGGGGGGAGGTGACTTGATGTCATCCTGAGCAGCTGGGCGGCGGGTGCCGGTGCGCCCAGAGCCGGGGCTCCCCCTGCGCTGCGCCGCGCGGCACCCGAGTCCCGGGACGTCAGCAGAGGTCCGCGCGCTGCCCGGGCCAGCCCCGAGCCCGCCGTGCGCCCGGCCCCGACGCGGGGCTGAGCTGGGGGCATGCTCCAGCCCCCCCGGAGCCCCGGAGAGAACCCAGGAGCGCCGCCGCCCAGCCCCAGCGCCCCGAGCGGCGGAACTGCTGCGAAGGAGCCGTGAATCGCCGCCCCGCTCCCCCGCGGGCAGCCCCGGGAGGTCCGCGACCAAAGTCTGGGCTTCTGAGAAGTGAGTGTCCCTGCTCTATGAGGTTTTTGCAGGGCCAGGAAGGAGGAGCTGAGTTTTGGGGAGGGTGTTGGGGTCTAGAAAGGGTTGGCATGGGGACGGGGGGTCCCCATTCTTGGGTGAGCCCACGGTGGCCCGCACTAGTGGAGCAGGATCTCCCATTTCTCTAAGGGATTAGGGAGGAGGAATGCCCCCCACCCTCAATCTGAGTAAGGGGCTGGCTTGGGGAATAGGCCCTGTTTTGGAAGGGTTATTTTAGAGCCCTGGAGCCTTTCAGTCAGGGAGAAGGGAGGGACCTGTCCATGGTGGGAAGGGGATGCACCCCTATTTGGGGGTATGCCAGGGGTTGGAGGGAAAAGAAGACTGGGCACCCAGCTGCAGCAGCCCAGGCCATCTCTTGCTGACCTTCTTGCCTTGACTTCCTTCTCACAAGAGCAGAGTGGGAACCCTGACTGGACTCTTCTGGACTCCCAGGAAGGACCTGAGGCCTGAGCCATCTCCTTTCCACCCTGCCTGCCCCCCAGGACTGGGCAGTTGCCTAAGGCCCTGGGGGGGGGCCCAAGACTGTGGTTGTGCCCCCCCCCAACAGAATGGGCCCAAGTTAGTCCACTCAGCCTCACCCAGCATCCTCTGGGCCCAGGGGCTCTGAAAGCTTGAGCTGCTGCCTGCCTGCCATGGAGACGAAGCTGCCCCCTGCGAGCACCCCTACCAGCCCCTCATCTCCTGGGCTGTCGCCTGTGCCACCACCTGACAAGGTGGATGGCTTCTCCCGCCGTTCCCTGCGTAGGGCCCGGCCCCGTCGCTCCCACAGCTCCTCTCAGTTCCGCTATCAGAGCAACCAGCAAGAGCTCACTCCACTGCCTCTGCTCAAAGGTGAGCCAGCTGCTGACTGTCAGGGTACCTGAGCCCATGAGGGGACCAGCAAGGATGGGGGCAGTGGGAGGAGAAGCAGCCGTCAGAGGGAGTTTGGATGGTCCTGCTGGGTTTGGGATTCCACCATTGGAACCGACCCCCAGCCCTTCAGCCCTCTGCTGACGCATGGCCTGACTGGCCTGTCATCCCTGGAGGTGTGGCATCCGGAGGTGGTGCCACTCTGGGGGGCAGGCCAGGGCCAAGGGTGGGGCACACAGCCTGGGTTCCAGGAGGCCACTATCAGCCCAGCCAGCTGTCTGTGTCCTGGGGCAGGTGCTTGGAGTGGTTCCTGGTGATCATCATGTAGTCCCCACGTTCACCCTTGAGCCCCTCTCCACTTCTGGCTCATTGAACAGGGTGCCGCCTAGGAGAGGGAGGCAGAGGCTATTTTTGGAAAGCCCATATAACCAGGCTTTGTGGTCTTGCTTAACATTACGGAGTCTCTGAACCTGGATTAAGAGAAAATGAGGAAGACCCCTGACCCCCAGGAGTGGAGGATGGGACAGGAGATGCTTATTCTCTGCAGGGAGTAGGAGATAGCATTAGAGCATGGGGTCTGGGGGCAGCAGAAGCTGGCCCTAGGGATTAGGAGCCCTGGCAGCTGGGTCCAAGCTCAGCCCCCCTGTCTGTCCCTCCTTAGATGTGCCAGCCTCTGAACTGCATGAGCTGCTGAGCCGAAAGCTGGCCCAGTGTGGGGTGATGTTTGACTTCTTGGACTGTGTGGCTGACTTAAAGGGGAAGGAGGTGAAGCGGGCAGCACTCAATGAGCTGGTGGAATGTGTGGGGAGCACTCGGGGCGTCCTCATCGAGCCTGTCTACCCAGACATCATCCGCATGGTGAGCACCGGGCCCAGCCTCTGAGGGACTGCTGGGGGGATACATGAACCCCTACTGACCCACCTGTAAGACCCTGTGCTAAGAGTAAACCCTACACCCTACAGCTTGGCCTCAGAGCCCATGTCCTCTGTCTCCCCTGAACCCCACTGCTGCCCAGAACCCACTCGGGGCCTCTTTGCACATTCTACCTCCATACCTTTGCTTATGCAAGCGAGGCCTGGAGCGACTGTCCCCCGTGTCACTTAACTTCTGTGGCCCAGCTCTGGTGGTGTCCCTCCTATGAAGTCTCTTTCAATGACCAAGCCGGAAATCTCCTTTTTCTTGCCCAGAATGCCCGTGGGCTTACTGCTGGCAACCATGTCTCCCTCACTGTTGCCCCTGCCCGAGGAGTGAATTGGGCACCTTGCTGGGGCAGATGCCAATTCTGACCCATTAGGACGTTGGATGAGGGACCTCCCCAGCTTCTGCCTTCAGGGAATCATCCCTGACTCTGCTCCCCAGATCTCAGTGAATATCTTCCGGACCTTGCCACCCAGTGAGAATCCTGAATTTGACCCTGAAGAGGATGAGCCCAACCTTGAGCCTTCCTGGCCACATCTGCAGGTGTGAAGGGTGGGGCAGGCAGGGGTCCACACCTCAGAAGAGCTTAGTCAGGGAGGGTCTGCTTAGCCCCTAAACTGTTGGATGAAGGTCACAGGGTGGGCTGAGTGGGTGAGGCTGTGGCTGGATTGATCTTTCTGTTTGTCCCTTCCCTTAGCTGGTATATGAGTTTTTCCTGCGTTTCTTGGAGAGTCCAGACTTTCAGCCCTCCGTGGCCAAGAGATATGTGGATCAAAAGTTTGTCCTGATGGTAATGTGGGGAGCCCTGGCTGGGTGGTACCATGGGGCAGGGGCAGGCTCTCTGAGGGCCATGCAACAGGATGGAAGCCGCCTGGTGTTGACCTCTCACCTGATCCCACACCCTGTGTTCCTCAGCTCCTGGAGCTCTTTGATAGTGAGGACCCCCGGGAGCGTGAGTACCTCAAGACCATCTTGCACCGCGTCTACGGCAAGTTCCTGGGTCTCCGGGCCTACATCCGCAAACAGTGCAACCATATCTTTCTCCGGTGAGTAGCTGCTGCCTGCCTGAGAAAAGCCCTGGGAAGGAGGGAAACGGACCAGTTGGGGAGAAGACTGAGGCCCTCCTAGGCTATGGGGTCTGTGTGGGATTCTGGTTTATCAGGTTCTTTCCCCATGACCCAATAGTGATTATAAAAGGCTGAGACGTCAGCAGAGGATGAATGTTTATTTGCATTTCATAGATGGGAAAAAAGAGGCCAAGAGAGCAGTTTTCTGAGACCAGGGGAGCCTAAGAGCTAGATCTTTTGATCCTTACCATATTGATCCTTAGGACCTGGAGAGATTCTTTCTGCAAATATGTATTGAACACCAACATCCAGTGGGTGTTAGAGACCCACATGACCGTGTAGTTGAGCTCATGGCTCTAGTGTTAGATGGTCTGCGTTTGAATTTGGTTCCAGTATTTGGGGGAACTTGGGCAAATCACTTAAGCTCTCCTAATTTCCTTAACTTTGAAATGGGGATACTGCTTAAACTAACTTGGGGCCCAAGGAGAGATGAAGGGATGTCTTCAAACATTCAGAATAGTTCCTGACCCAAGGCAAGGACTCTGAAGCATTAGCTCTTATTGTTATTAGCAACAAAGGAGGTAAGACATGATCCAGGTCCTGCAGGAGCTTGGAGTCCATTAGACTTCCCACTTATTAACTCTGGGGCAAGTGTCATTTAGTCGCTGAATCTCAATGTCTTTATCTGTGTAATGGCTCTCATACGCCCTACCTCTCAGGAGAATTTTGTGAATTACTAGGTCCAGAGTAGATGCTCTAAGTGTTTGTCATTTCTTTGGTTGACCCGTATGAAGAGTGAAGGTCGTAGGCTGGGTGCCTGCTGGATGTGTGGGGAGGGGTAAAGAGTGCCAGGGCCAGGGGGGAGGCAAACAGGAGCACCTTGTAGCAGAGAGATGAGGTTGGCAGAGGTGGCTGGGCTGAGGTACGTGTGGATCTCAGGGGGCCGGGTCTGGGGCCCTGGGAAGGGAGAATGGCCTCTGAGTCCGAGAGTTGGACAGGTGTGAGTGTGGGTGGGTGGGTAGGTAGGATGGCTGATGGGTGATGGGCTCACCCATGCTCCGAGCCCTTCCACATTCTTCTCCTCCCACAGATTCATCTATGAACTGGAGCACTTCAATGGTGTGGCCGAGCTGCTAGAGATCTTAGGAAGGTGATTGTCCCGGGACCTCAGCTAGAGCTCAGGGTTCTGGGAGGAGGGACTGGGGACCTGGTCACTTGAACCCTGCTCCTCTTTTCCGGCCCCTCCTTAGCATCATCAATGGCTTTGCGCTGCCCCTGAAGACTGAGCACAAGCAGTTCCTTGTTCGCGTCCTGATCCCCCTGCACTCCGTCAAGTCACTGTCTGTCTTTCACGCCCAGGTGAGGCCCAGGCTTGGCCCTGCTTCAACAGAACTTCTGACAGAGTCAGGGCTGCCCACAGGACCAGGAAGTGGCCTGGCACCGGTGGGATCCTATCTCACCTTGGTTGTCTTCACTAATTCTTTCCACTTCAGGGAGTTGCCACTGGCCCTTTAAGGCCGACCTCAGACATCAGCTCTGAAGCCCCCCCCAGGCCTTCCCTCTACCTGCTCTAAGCTCAGCGAAACTCTCCTCCCTCCATAAGCCCAAAGATTGCGATGCACAGCTCTATTATGGAATCTTTTGCAAAATTTATAAGGGTTGGTTTGCTGAGCGTTTCCCCTGTGAGGTCATCGTGCATTCCCAGCTCCCTGGCGGGTACCGCCTGGGCAGGCTGGCAGTGCTGGGCCAGCAGAGTGAGAGGCAGTGGGTGGGTGAGCATCTGATGGGCGCCCGGTGGTGGTACCTGGCCCCAGATGACCTCTGGCTTCCTCCCTCTCCCCCCACGCCCGGCAGCTGGCATACTGTGTGGTGCAGTTCCTGGAGAAGGACGCCACCTTGACAGAGCACGTGAGTTCCTCTGGGGGAAGGTGGGCCCCTCACTCTGCAGGTCTGACTTTCTTCTGCCTCAACCCCTACAGGTGATCCGGGGGCTGCTCAAATACTGGCCCAAAACCTGCACCCAGAAAGAGGTATGAAGAGGGCTTTGATGCCCACCAAAGGGAGGTTGGGGGCCATCTCGCAGAGGCAGGTAAGGTAGGTGTGTGCGTGTCTGGGGAGATGTGAGCTATTGCCACTCTGTCCCCTCAGGTGATGTTTCTGGGGGAGATGGAAGAGATTCTTGATGTCATCGAGCCCTCCCAGTTCGTGAAGATCCAGGAGCCCCTCTTCAAGCAGGTGGCTCGCTGTGTATCCAGCCCCCATTTCCAGGTATGGGGCAGGGACAGGTGGGGTGGAGGCAGTGCTGTAGTCTGGGAAGGTTGGGCCATTTACCTGACATAGTTCCCTCTCCCCTCAGTTTCTCCTCCAGTCTTGGGTCTGATAATAGGGAGATGCTGGGTTTAGGGTCAGAAGATGTAGGGTCAAACCTCAGATCTCCTTCTCCTGGCTGCAGAGCCTTGGGCATATCACCTCCCACTGTGAATATGATTTAGGTTTCCTCATCTGTAAAATGGGCCAACAACAGTTTCTTCACTGGGAAGCAATGAGGATCAGAGAGATCATGACTGTAACATGATAAACTGAGCCAGAACAGGATGGAGTATTATCACTTATCTTAGTGGCCTTAGTATTTTTGTTGGTTGTGTTTGTTTCTGATTCGAGATTGAAACCAAGAGTACTGTACCACTGAGCTACATCCTCCTCCTTTTTGAATTTTTGTTTTGAGACAGGATCTTACTAAGTTGCTAAGGCTAGTCTTGAACTTGCAGTCCTCCTATATCAGCCTCCCAAGTCACTGGGATTACAGGCTTCATCCCCTTATATTTCATTAGTCCCACGTAAGAACCCAGCCAGGTTTCCCTCATTATCCCAGCTATTGTAACTCTTGCTCTTCTGCATGTATATAGAATCTCTTCCAGTCTTTTTAATTTTTCCCCATGGTGCTAGGATGAAACCCAGGGCCTAGCACAAGCTAGGCAGGTGCTCTGGCCACTGACTTAAGTCTCCAGTCTTCTCTCATTTTTATGAACCCTAACCCTATGGACGTCACTTCTTCCTACAGTGACTCCAGTAGCTTACCTTCATTAAACAGTCTGGTATTTCATTTTGTTCTTACAATAGTCCAGTGGAGGTAGGTATCATGAGCTCCATTTTATAGATCAGACAACCGAGGTGGAGACTGGATTCCTCCCAGGGTCCTGTGGGTGGCCTGGAGTCTGTCAGTGAGGATTTGCCTGGGTGTTGATCCCAAACGTGGTGCTGTGTGTTTTTCTCTCTTCACCACATTGTTTCCCCCAGTGGATCAAATGAGCCCTTGGGGTTGGGGATTGTGGAGGTCAAGGGGCCTGGGCTTTAGGGAGGGATGGATGCCCGTCCTTGCCATGCAGAAGCCACTACCAGGCATTCTCTGTACCACTTTGCCTGTGTCAGGTTGCAGAGCGGGCTCTGTATTTCTGGAACAATGAGTATATCCTGAGCCTCATTGAGGACAACTGCCACACTGTGCTGCCTGCTGTGTTTGGGACCCTCTACCAAGTCTCCAAGGAGCACTGGAATCAGTGAGTGCCCAGGCTTTGACTTCACCCTTAAACACTGGGAACACAGCCAACCCGGCCTCTGGGGCTGCTCCTAGCTGGAGAAGATCAGAGACAGTGGCGGAGTATGGCTGAGGGTGGGGGGGGTGCATGGGCAGAGAAGCAGGGTGCTGGGTGGGGAACAGGATAGGCAGAACGCCAGGCAGGGAAGTGGGTCAAATTGGTGTTGTAATCATCTCAACCCCCGTCCTTGACCACACCAAGAACCATCGTGTCTCTGATCTACAATGTGCTCAAGACCTTCATGGAGATGAACGGGAAGCTATTTGATGAGCTCACGGCCTCCTACAAGCTGGAGAAGCAGCAGTGAGTGCTGGGCGCTGGGCATGGGGGAGGGGGAGAAAAGCAGGAAGGAATCTGACCCTCGGGTTGGACCCTGAGGTTGGCAGAAGACCCCCAACCCAGTGTGGTCAGAAGTTCCAAGTCCCTCCCTCGTGTCCCTGCACCGCTGCCCACTGCGCCGTCCACTGTTCTTCCTGCTCTGACGCCCTGCAGCTCCTAGACCACAGGCTGGGCGTGTTCTCTCCTCAGCTCTTTCCTAAGCAGAGGGTTTCTCTAGAGTTAAAGGACAGAATATGATTCTGTGCCCCCCCACCCCGTTTTGCAGGGCAGGGTGGAGGATGGAGTATGGGGGCCTTAGTAGGGGGAGCTGCCTTATCCTCTCTCCCCAGGGAGCAGCAGAAGGCCCGGGAGCGGCAGGAGCTATGGCAAGGCTTGGAGGAGCTGCGGCTACGCCGGCTACAAGGGGCCAGGGAGGCCCCTCTCCAACGGCTTACACCCCAGGTGGCTGCCAGTGGGGGTCAGAGCTAGAGAGCCCCCAGAAGGGGAGAAGCTAAACCCAGACCAGAGCTGTCAGTCCCTCCATCCCTTTTCCTGCCCAGGGGCCCAGAGAGGCACACACCTACCCCTGGCCTTGCCAGAGTGGGCTCTGAGGACTCCCTGCCCAGCCCTGTGTGGGCAGCTTTCACTGGGGGACAAGAGGACAAGATGGTGGTCTTGGCAGCAGAACTCTCAGGCCCTCTTGGCAAGACTTGACCAGGGCAAGCTTGGCTGGGAAGCTGCCATCAGGGACATTCCCCTGCTCAGCAATGCAGGGCTTCAGGCTGCAGGGGATACAGCTCTGCCCCCAGCCTAGGACAAGGGCACTGGGCGCCTCGCCTGCCCTTGCCCTGGGCCGGCATGAGGTCCTTCCTCGTCTCCACCATGGGGTCCATGATCTATTTATTCTGCCCTGCGCACCCTCAACACAGGCACTGTCCTGGCCCTGGGGCATCCTCCTTCCCTCCTGTCCTTTGCCCTGTACTTCCTTGTCCCCTTTTTATTTATTGGGCAGGGGGAGGGGCGAGGGCACAGGCAAAAAGAGATTCACAGTGTCCTGGGGTAAGGGGGTCACAGTAACCATGGTCTATCCTCCTTCCCCTGGCTGGGGGTAGACGTAATAAAGAGAGAAACTGAACAACTGCTTGCTTTATTTAGGGGTGGGGCATGACGAGGACTGGTTAAGGGGGACAGGCAGGGACGAGGCAGAGGCAAAAACACCCCTCTTCTCGGGAGGTGACATCACAAACTCAGGAGGGTCAGAGCTGGAGCAGCTCCTCATTTTAAAAAATTCGATAGCAAGTCACTAGCAGGATGGGAACTCCTTCCAATGACTAGAAGCGAGAGAGGCGACACATGTCACACTGGCAGGCCCTGGCCGTGAAGATCTCGAGCTCCCGCCTCCGGTCCCCCACACACTGCAGCTGTACCTTTACCTGTGGTGGAGGGGAGCCAGCCACGTTCTGGACCCTCCGGGCCACCTTCAACCCCACCTCCTCTGTCTCCACCTCCCCAGCACCCCTCACCTTCTTTAGGCTGCTGATGGTGCAACACTGGGAGACGGAGGTGATGTTGTGTCGATAGCCACTGGCTGCCAGCACAGAGTACCGGGAAGGGAAGGCACTGGATTCACAGTGGCCCACACAGGCCTGTGCCACATGGGAGCCCTGGCAGGTGCCTTGGCGGTCACTGCGCACTGTCACGTTGAAGGCTGAGAGGAAACGGAGCAGTGGACTGTGCCTCTGGGAAGGCGAGCCCCAGCACTCTATCTATGCCTCCCCGGGCGTCCCTCTATAGGGTGCTGCCTGCCCACGTCCAGTCTGTCAGCTCTGCTCCCACCCAGAACTTCCACTCCTAGCTCTCTGGTCCCAGAGTTACTCACGGTGCAAGTGGCAACCTGGGATGGCTGCCTCCTGATCCCAGCCTTCAGTGACTGCCAGGACCAGCAGGCAGATGAGCAGGGCTTGGGGGGACGCCATGGGCACCTGAAGCACAGTGGGTGGAAGTCTCTAAGGGGGTGTGCAGGTGGGAGAGAGAGTTCTTTAAATAGCTCCTGCCTGCAGGTAAGTGAGCCGGAGCTGGCTGGTCTTTCTGACAGGTGAGACATGCCTGAGGGGGCTGTCTTTTCTCTCTGCCTCCCTGCGTGGGTCACTCTGGATGGGACTTGTGTGTCCATCCTCCAGCCTTCTGCAGTGATTCTGCGCTGGAATCATCCTCACCATCTGGACTGCAAACATCTTCCTCCCTCCACCTGCCCCATCTTGGCCTGCAGGGCCCTTGCCTGCATCTCCCGCCTTCCGGAGCTCCTCCTGCCTCGGCAAGCTCACCAGTGCAGGGCAGGAACTGCTGCTTGTAGGGTCTGGGCGCCTCCTGCTGCTCTAGAGTCTGGTGCCAATTCTCTAGGCTTTTATTTGCCTGTTTCAGAGCCACGCCCTCTTGGAGATCAGCTTTCAGGCGCCTCCTGGGCTGAGCCCTTGGAGCAGTCCACCTGGGAGATCCTTGCTCTGAGGTCCAGGACTGGGGGAAGTAAGGTGTGGAGAAGAGCCCAGGAGCTGGGGGAGGGTGCAGCATGTGCACCCGGGGAGAGGGCTCAAGACTCAGTTGAGCTGTGGTCACTTGTGTCCTCTCTGCTGTGTGAACTTGGTCAGGACACTACCCCAGCCTAAAAAACTCCTAAAACAAGCCTTGCCCATTTCTTTTATGACTACAAAGGAAAGAGATTGCAGGAGATTCTTATGGACAAGTGAAACGCCAGTGGGGGGCTCTGGAGCTGGGCTTGGTGGCAGGCAGAGCCATGGGGGCTGGGTCTACTGAGTCCCCTTCAAAGCCTCCCTTCCAGTGTCAGCGATGTCTTCCACCCTGTGGCCAGCTACAGAGCAGAGCTTGGGGTAGAGGGCTCTCTAGACCCTAGAATAACAGCAGTGGGACTCCCCAAAGAGCCTAAGGCAGTTAATCCCAGGAAATCTGATTATTTGAGTCCAGCTCTGGTTTTACAGACAAGGTTTCTAAGGCTCAGAAAAGGGAAGTTACTTACTAAAAGTCACACAGCTAATGTTAATGTCCAGGCTGATTTAGAACCCAAGTTTTCTGCTGTACTATCCAATAGTGCTAAAATAAACTTAGGGCAAGAATGTGGCAAGTTGGGGGGAAAATACCCTAGTTAGCAGGAGCCAGAGATTGGGGCAGGAAAGAGACCAAAAGGAAGGCTGTGGTGGTTCTGGGAAGCCCCAGTCAGGGCCATTGCCTCAGTGACCTACTCAGAAAGAGCAGGCAGGTCACACAGACTGCCAAAGCTAGATGGCCCCTAAGAACTCATCAAATCTCCCCCTCTCATTTTCCAAGTGAGAATGTCCCCAAGGCCACACTGTCTGCTAGTCCAGGTCATGATGGGCATTCAGATCTCCAGATTTTGGAGCTGTACCCTTTGTAGCTCTGTCAAGGAGGCCATGTTTGGGACAGTAAGGCAAGGGCTGCAAATACAATCTGAAAGGAGCTGGTGTTATCAGTGTTGCTGACCCTCAAGTCCCCACTCTATCCAGTGCCACCTCTGCTCGAGTTCTGGGCCCTCCCTCCCACAGCAACCTACCTCTTCTTTTCTCCCCACCAATGTTAGGGGTAGCCAAGCAAGGGGACATGGAGGGACCTCAACAGTCCTGCTCCTATGCTCCTACTCTCCCACACAGTGTAGCAACCCTCAGGCATGTGACAGATAATTAGCTGTTTAATGACTCCAGGTGAAAGGGCTCATTACCTCACAAGGTAGCCCATTCTCATACTGGACCCCTGCCCCACCCCGCCTTTTCTTTCTTTTTTTGTGGTACTGGGGATTGAACTCAGGGACACTCAACCATTGAGCCACATCCCCAGCCCTGTCATACTGGACATCTCTAAGAGTTAAAAAGTGACTCTTTTGTTCTGAGCTAAAATGAGTTTCCTTAGATTTCCATCAGTTGTTTTGGTTCTCTGAGGTCACCCAAGTCTAAACTGTCCCAGACTGGCCGGTTGGTTGGAGACAGTATATGTGTAGCCTTGCCTTTACCAGGGGCCCTACCTGGACTGGCTTCCAATTAATCTGATAAACTAATTTGTGCTAACAACAAGGCACCACAGGGATAGACAGGTGGGAAGCATTTTATCTGTGGAGAGGCTATTCCTTGGGGCCCAACTTAGTTGGGAAAGAGATCCTTTCTTTTGGGGCAGCAGGGTTCCAGACAGTGAGTTTTGCACAACCTCATTCCCTAACCCCTGGCAGTGGAGCTTAAGGTTTGGAATCAGGTAAGACTCCTCCATCCAACGTCATCCTGTAGCCAGCAGCAGGGGTCCAGGGCAAGTTTCATGCATTGCTTCTCTGCATCTTGAGAGAAGTTTGTTCTCTTAATCTGCTTCACCAAATGCAATCAATAGCTCTTCATGAATAATTTATTGGCATTAGGATCTTAAGTGCTGGAGGCAAAGGACCTACACTGGAACCTCAGGGCACTGAACTTCTTATATCATAGTATTTTAGAAAGCCCCATTTTTTTCCTTGATGTCTTAACTAAAGAAAAAAAAATTATAAGGGATGAAGGACAAGAAAAACCCACAAGAGGGCTCAGATAGGGGCCATCATCCCCACAACTGAGGTGTTGCTAAGATGCAGTCGGAGGAGGAACAGCTCTGGAGGGGTTGCTGTTAGAGAGGAGCTTCTCCCTGCTGCTGAGTCTGGAAGGCTCACTGGCTGTTCTTTCTGAAGAAATATCGAAATGGGAAGACAGTGCTGCAGGAACAAGAGCAGAGTAGGCTGAGACTAGAGATCTCCTTCCCTTCTCCCCAGTTCCCATTAATGACTCATTAGCCAGGGCATTTTGCTCTGGGGAACCACTGAATGGAAATTCAGGTCCAGAACAGCATTTGAGAAGGTAGCTAAATTAATTACTCGAAGAAGGGAGAAATAAAGGAAAAAGAATTGCAAAGGGATGGCTGAACCCTAGACAGGGAGGGATTTGCTAACTGTTCTCCACAAAAAAGACTCTGAAGACAACCTAGGTTCAGAGGAAAGGATAGAAATGTTTTGGAAACTGTATTATCTGAATGGCCCCATAAAACATGAATAGTCTCTATTCAAGCAAGGTCTGTGAAGCCAGGCCTTATTCTTAGTACATTAGAATGGGGGTGAGGTGCACAAAAATGAATGAGATGGTATTAAATTCCCAGTTAGGGCCCACGTCCTCAATCTCATTTCCACAATCTATCCTGGAGATCACTGAGACACTTCTGCAAGTCATCTGTTTTTACTCTCATTTCCCCGGAAAGACTCAATGAGGCAGCTCTGGAACTAGACCACTGCTTGGATGCTGGATCTCAGTCTGATGGCAGGAAAGAAGTCCTCCTTACCTTAGAAACCCAAAGAAGCCACTGGTTCCTAGCTCTTTAGGTGGAGGTGGGTTGTTTTGCTGTAATGGTGGGACAACTGGCCCTGGCAGACTCTGTTCCTTTTTAGAACCTGTAAAGAAAACACTCAGGCAGGAAAAACATATTGGTCCATGGGCTACTTTCACGCGATTAGGAAACAGAACAGCCTCGTGCCAGGATTTCTTTAAAACCAGGTGAATTATTTGCTCTGACCTTTCCAATTTCATCTCAGCTCAATAAGATGCTAGTCTGACCTTGAAGTATTTTCAAAGCCAGGCTCCACAGATATTTACCCAGCTCAACTCCCCAGCTATCCACCACGGCTGGTATGTTTTCACAGAGAATGACAACTTGCCAAGTAACTCACTCGCATTATATCCTGCTTCTAGGATAACTACAGTCCACACTGAATCATCATGCTGGGTGAAGGATCAGCAAGTCGGAAGGGCAATACCTCCATATGCATTCCCAGGTCTTGCAGAGCCCCTGTCTGTGCCCTCAGTGTTAATACTAATATCTGAGGGGGAAGGGAGAGAGAGCTCCCCAAGATGGTTCTCCAGTTGCACAGAAAAAGGAGATACATCTCTTCCAACTTTTCCATAACACTTCCCACCTTATTCTGAAACATTTGGAGGGGCTGGGGTTGTGGCTCAGTGGCAGAGCATTTGCCTAGCATGTGAGAGGCCCTGGGTTCGATCCTTAGCACCACAATAAACAAATATAATAAAGGCATGTTGTCCATCTACAACTACAAAAAAAAATTTTAAAAAGAAACCACTTTGGAACTGCAACTTCACTATCAGAAGCAGAAGAAGGGGGCTGGGGATGGGGCTCAGTGGTAAATCACTTGCCTAGCATGTGTGAGGCACTGGGTTCAATCCTCAGCACCACATAAAACAAACAAACAAACAAATAAAATTAAGGTATTGTGTCCATCCATAACTTAAAAAAAAAAAGAAAGAAGGAAAGAAAGAAGCAGAGGAAGAGCACGCATTATTGCCTCCCTCACACCTTTGGGAGCTGGGAGGAGGATCCTGTTACTCCAAGTCAGTCCCACTGGAGGACAATCACTGGTGCCTCTAAGGGTGAGAGGAACACCACACGGAATGTGCACAAACTCAGAGCACTAGAAGGGGTAGGACATTATTAAAGGAAGGTAAATATGAACTTCCCAGAACCTACCCTGTTCCTGGGCATCAGCGGTATCAGAATCTAGGTTCGCCTGCCATTCCTGCTGGGGTTTTCTTTCCTTGTTCTGGTAAAAAGAAGACCAAGAAAAGTCCTAAGTTTTACTCCTATATGGCTGGTGATCTGACTTGCTATTTTCTGAAGAACTGATTTCACATCAGCACCGGGGCCTGGCTTCTGGCTGCCCAGGCAGGTCTGAGACTCCCTGCTATAGGACTGTCCTTTTTCATTTCAGCTCCCTAACCATTGTCTGTCTAAAACCACAAAATTTAAGAGCTGATAACAAGCCAAGCTGGGCTTACCTTACTGTTCCCTACTGTGGAGAGTTCCCACTATTACTGACACAATATCGAGGCTTCAGAAACCAGGACAACCTTACCATTACCTTGGAGAACTGTATAACTGTCAGATAAAACTGACCCATAAACCATTTGCCACAAGACAGTATGCTGAAGCTACCCCATGAGTCTCTAGACTGGCCTGGTTGCTGGGGAGGACATGAGCAGAGTGGGTGGCGGTTGTCAAGGCTTCATAGGGAGAGTGACGTCTGGATGGGGCCTGCATGGATGAGCGGGATTCTCATCTTGGGGGTGAGGATCTGGACAGTGAGAGCACAGCACTCTGGACAGGGACATGATGTAAAGGGCACAGTACCAATAAAGAGTAAACGCAATCAGCATGACTAGTGCCAGGCCCGGCAGAAACAGGTGATGGCCTTAGCAGCCAGCACAATACAGTGCAATCTTTCTCCATGTGCCACAGCCTGATAGGAATTCCTCTGCACTCTGAAGAAGACATTCTACAACCGGTTTCCAGGACCACAGCATTTCTAAGTAAACACCCTGAGAGTCAGAAACATGGTGCATATATTTTCTTTGGGAATGTGCCTGAGAGAGTCCAGCAGAGCCCATGTTCTTGAGCTGTGACACTGTGAATTCTAGAGCAGAATGGGCTCAGGGAGGCAGGCTCAGGGAAGACCTCAGGACATGCAGGACTGGCCCCCCACCCCAACCATAAACTTCAGGTTAGAACAATAGATCTTTATGAGGTGAGATTCTTCACAAACCCCTCAAATATAGTCCATAGTGGCAGCCCCCTAAGTCATATTCCCCGAAAAGTGACAGGGAACTCTAGAAAGAAAGGACATAGACCATTCTTACTTTTTCTAGACAGAGTGGTGACAGGATTTAGAGGGCCTGGCTCTGGTTTCTGGCTTGAGGAAATAATTCTTACAAGTTTGATGAAACGATGCTCTGGAGCTTAAATTTTGCTATATGGAGTAGCCCCAGTAGAGTGGCATCTATTAGGGCTGATACAGGGTCCAGAGGGCAAAGGCCTGGGGACAGAGGTAGAGTCTGCTCCAAGCCAGGGAGACAAGACTTGTGAGGACAAGACAGAGGCCTTTGTGCGCTCCTTTGTGATCTTGAGGGAGGTTTTCCCAGGCAAAGTTGTAAGAGAGAAAAAACAGCCTGAAGGAGACTGAGGGTTTCATCAGGGACCTCCAGCAGAACAGCATGCTGAACCTCTATATGTCCAGGGTTGGATCTGTTGAGAAGTGGCTTCAGTGGAGGGGGAAACAAGCTATGAGCACCAGTCCGTTTCACTTCTAGGCCATTTCTATGTTTATCCACACCCCCACTTCCACCTTTTTTTTATCCTTCCAATGTCTGGGTCTCTAGGTGTAGGGTCTGAAGGAGCAAAGGGAAGGGATCTACCTTTCCTGCTTATTCTTCCCAAAATCCAAAGCACCGTTCATGAGATAATTGTTGTATTCAGCTAAGCTCTCCCTGTGCAGGTTCCCAATGTGTTTAGGCATGCACAGGCTGCACTGGCTGAGATCCTGTACCCTAACTTCCCCCAGAGGCGAGAGAAAATATCAAGCATTGGACATAGGCACAAATTCAATTTTTCCAGCTCAACTGACTTACACTGAGAGTCACTGTGATCATTATAATTTAGGAGAAATCCTCTCCCTGGGAACAGGGTCTGTGATGGAGGCTGTCTTTGGGCTTTGAGTCAAAATCAATAAACATGCTTCTTTTACTCAGTTTTTTTCTAAACCCAGAATCAGGTTGAAAAGGTAATTATGTTGAGTAAGAAGCTGTGGGTACAGTTCTTGAGGGAGATGATGTGTCAAACTAAGAATAGGAAGGTACGAAGGGTAGGGAGTGAGGGAAACGTTCCTTTAATAATAATTATCTTGGTTGTATAAAGTGTCTTTGTTCCCCAGAGCTTCATGTACTCTTCTTGTACTTTCTCATTTCTTTCTTTTCTTTTTTTCTTTCCTTTTTCCTTTTACCTCTAGAAAGGATGGGAAGTAAAGAAGGGGGCGACTTTCTTCCCAAAGTCACTCAGTGGGCCACTTGGCTGTGGCACAACTGGGGCTTGTCCTGGACCCCCAGAGGCAGAGGGCTAGAACCCTCCCCGATACACATTATAAACTCCTGGAGAGAAGAAGCCAGGTTTTACATGTGTTTGTATGTGCTCTAGCACATAACATAATATAATATCTTGCAAACAGGAGACAGAATAATGGTTTAGAAATGTAAATTGCAGGATGAGGGTTTATATCTCAGTGTGAGACCCAGGTTCAATTCCCAGTACTGCAGAAAGGAAGAAAATTTCTTTTAAAAATGTTTTAGGGAGGGCTGGGGCTGTAGCTCAGTGGTTGAGTACTTGCCTTGCATGTGTGAGCCACTGTATTCGATCCTCAGCACCACATAAAAATAAATAAACAAAATAAAGATATTGTGTCCATCTACAACTAAAATATTAAAAAAATTTTTTAGGGAGTTGCACATCTATAATCCCAGCTACTCAAGAGGCTGAGGCAGGAGAATCACAAGTTTCAGGCCAGCCTGGGTAATGTAGCAAGAAACAGTCTCATAATAAAAAGTAAAAAGGACTGGGGCTGTAGCTTAGTGATAGAGCACCCCTGGGCGCAATCTCCAGTACTTAAAAAAAAAGAAAACGGTTTCAGGAAATTCTTGTGATCTTGAAGGTGACCTCAAAGCCTTCCATGATCCTGCTGGCCTGTCCAGTAACATTTCTGGTCCTGTGTTCTAAGCTCGAGGTGGGCTGGCTGCAGTCACCAAACACCTGCACTCTTCTCTCTCAGCCAGAGCTCTTTCAGTTCCTCTGAGCTCCTCTGGAAACCCTTCCTTCATGGTAACTTTGTGTTCTCTTTGTACCCTGTGCTTCCTTTTCCCCTGCACATGGCCTATCTATAAGTAACTATCCGCCTGGCCTGACACTGCTGGTGTTTTTAGGGGAGCACACGATATTCCTGGCACTTGGCACACAGCAGACACAATGAAAATTCGTTGAATTCATGCACATGTGCTCAATAGCTGATCATGTTATAGGTCCTAGGAAGGTGAAGGAAATGAGTTGGTAGTGTTTGGAAACTTAGGGTCAGAGCTACTTTGGACACATGAAGTGAAAAGAAAAGAGGAAAGATCTATAAGGCAGGTATAACAGCTAATAGCTATTTAAAGAGGGAAAGAAATGTAAAAAGGCACTGCTTTAGGGCTGGGGTTGTGGCTCAGTGGTAAAGTACTTGCCTCACATGTGTGAGGCACTGGGTTTGATTCTCAGCACTGCATATAAAAAATGAATAAAATAAAGTCCATCAACAACTAAAAATAATATTTTAAAAAATGGGCACTACTTTAGAGACTATTATGAGAAAAAAGCCTTGAAATGGAGGAGAAGCAGATATATGAATATTCAAATGGGGAACAGACTCCATAAGTAGAATCAAACCAAATGGTCAGGGGCCAGCACATCACTGCTTCAGAGATTTTCTCTTACCAATTTCCAATGCTGATAAATGTCTAGCTCATCTGTTAAAATTAGACATGCCCAGACTCAGACTCCAGTGTAGATGAAAGCAAAAAGTTTTCTAAAGAGAAAGTTCTACCCTGGATTCCACCTCTATTTAATACAGACCTATTTTCTTACTTCAACAGGAAAGTACAAGCAGCTGCTTTCTAAGCTGAGAAGAGAGATGTTTTAACAAAAGGATTCATCCACATGTATATTATGCAGCCACTTTGGGGATGGGTTGTGGCAAGGGGGAAATCGCTGAAAGTTGTTCTGCAGACAGTGAAACCTGAGAATGCGCTCAGTCAGTTCCATCTGCAGTAACAGGAACCTTGCCCTGCAGAAGAGCGGGAGCAGCCAGGAACCTCAAAGCCTCCATTTTGGTGCTCACCTTCCTGGTTTCCATATGGAGCTTCTTTTTGCTGCTTTCTTGACTAGAAGTCCCTATCTTGGCCCTGAGTGGGGGAAAAAGCCCAGAAAATGTTACTGGCAGTGACAACATTACCACATTCTAGCAAATGTGGCCCAAATGAATATTTCAGCAGGTTGGCTATTTTTATACCACTCCTGGCTGGCAGGAAAAATTGTGTGGCCAAATTTTCTTTGGGTGCTGTTTTAATTCACAGTAGAATCCCATTTGAGACACTTAAGGATATGAGGTTTGAAAAAGGGAAAATGTGACTGACAGTAGGTTTTTAGATTCTGAGATACTTGATTGAGCATCAAAACCCAGAGAAAGGGAAAATCTGAGGCCTCATCTCTGTGGAAAATTCATTCAAATGGAACACAGCAAAGCTTCATTCCCTCGAGTACCCTCACATCGCCCTAGGTTGGAAAGGAACTCTTAGCTCTGCTCTTCCAACGTGTACACCTGGAAGGCACAGGGCAGCTCCTTTGTGGTGTATTCTAGGAACCCACATGGTCCCAGGAAAAGAGCAACTGCTTTCTTTGAACCTGGGGGGGGGGGGGAAGCACTGTGGGCTGGGCAGCAAACCACACCTTGGACTATTCCAGCAGGCCTCTCTGGGATGCTAATAAGGAAGACCAAACTATCTTACAGACTCCTTTTATCCCTGAGAATTAAATGATCATAAGTAGCCTTCACAATAGCAACTTCAACATTCCACCTCATAACTGATGTACTCAACATTCCACCAACAAGTGATATGTAATAATTGATACTTCACCTAATAATTGATACTCACCCTAATAATTGATATAAACCCTTTTGCAAGCATTTATATTTCTCTCTGGACTACCTTTAAGGTTCTAAGAGCTTGCTGCTCACTAAGTAAAACAGAATAATTGTATTTTATGTTATTCTCTCTTTTTGTTTTTGGATAATGTTCTGACTTCATAATTTCATGCCCTTCGACTGGGCCTTCTATAATGCTGCCATAGTAAGCATTCACTTGTAACAGGGGTTTACTTGAAACTTACATGTTTTTTTTTTTTTCTTTTTCCCCAATTTTCTTCTCCCTGATCTTCTCCTTCCTGATCTCTCCTCCCTAATCTCATTTTTTCTGAGTCACCTCTTTAAAAGTCCCCTGTTCCTGAGGATGGGCAGAATCACAGCCTTTGGAAGAGGAAATCCCCTGTGTTTCTCTTTTGTTAACAAAGCAATAAACCTTCTTTTTCCTTTTTCTCAAGACCTTGTTTTCATTATTGGATTGGTGTCAAGGACGAGGACCAAGCTTTTGGTTATATACTGACTGCATTGTAGTCAGTTCTACAGATCCAATTGTATTTCCTCTCAGCCTTCATCTTGGACAGAACAATTCTACTTTACTGAGAAAGGGAATGCGTTCAAATTACATCATAAATATCAACTCGCTTCCTTTCCTTAGCCCACTCACTGGAATAGGCAGGTACTATTGAAACCTCCCAAAAGAAAGTGATTTGCCCAAGAACAGAACCCACTACAGCCCAGGTGGCAAAGCCTGCCTAGGAGGAGTCAGCCTCCCAGACCCTGCCACTGACCTGTGCAGCCCTGTCCTGCTGGGGGAGCTTGGCTCTTCCACAAGTCCTCGTTTCCTCATGGAGGCTCCTGCTGCTCTCTTCTCAGTTAGAAGCTTCAGGGAAGAACCAGATTTCTGTGAGCCTCCTTTTCCAGAGTGTCTCACATTCAAGAGGGTATCATGGAAGGGCACTCCCCATCTTTTTTTTTTTTTTTTTTTTTTATTTGGACACAATGCACCTTTATTTTATTTATTTTTATGTGGGTGCTGAGGATCAAACCCAGCACCCTGCATGTGCTAGACAAACGCTCTACTGCTGAGCCACAACTCCAGGCCCAGGAGGTCCCCATCTTTAACTTGCCAAAGGCAACTTTATTTTTTTGACAATGCTGGGGATGGAACCCAGGGCTGCATGTTAGGCAAGTGCTCTACCACTGAGCTATAGTTTCAGCCTTCAAAGGCAACTTTTATCAACAGCTTTGTAGCAAAGATAGATAGATGTTCTGTTAGAGACATGGTCTCTGAAATCTAGCCAAGGGGACATATAGGGTCTCCTGCCTACAATTCTGATGGGACCCAGGCAGTGACCAATCAGCAAAGTCTGAGGAAGTCAAAAGCAGCACTTTGGGGAAAATGGGAGGTGATTAGAGTGATTTTAATTTTATACAAAAAGGGCAAACTTACCAATCCAAGAGGAGTGTCATTTATTGGTTTCCCTACAATAGGAAATTTAAATGTCATAATGGATCAAAACTTGTTTTGCCTAAATTTCTGGCTACTATTTATTTCTCAGAATTGGCCCCAGACAAAACCTCCCCATGTACCCTTCTCCCTTCCACCTGGTACCACTTTCCCTAGAAACAGTATCTTCAAATTCTCATCCTCCACTACTCCAGAAGGATTGTCATCTACAAGTTGAAATGGGTTTGATTCACATTATATTTTAAAGATATATCACTTAAAAGGGGATAATCCTCATTATAAAAGAAAAACTGTGACTTTAGGCATCAATGACAAATGAATTAGAGAGATACTTGAAGCAAGGCCTTTGCACCCTTTTTAAAACACACTAGCACGTGTTTTCTTGTCCCTTAATAAATAAAATTAGCCATGGCCCTCAGAGATTAAAAACTGGGAGATACCTTTAAGACATCACTAAGGTGAGTCACTGGATACTCAAAAGTTAAGAAAGTGTTTATAGAAGACTTACCTTCTATTGAGTCTGACTTTGTATATTCCACCTATCAGTATTTATATCGTCAATCTTTTTAACAACTCGTGAAGTGGTACTAGTATTTTTCTTCACCATTTCACAAAGGAGGCACAGAAAGACTAATTGATCAAAGGTCATACAGCTATTAAGTATCAAAAGCCATGGATCTGAACCAGGCTTTGGAGAACGTGATCCTGGCTTCTTCAAGGCAGTTGGGGCCCAGTCTGGCAGACCCTTTCACCATATTCAGCTTGTACTGCTAATGGCTTTCTTCTCTGCCACCCTCAGTCCTCTCATGCTACTTACCAGGTGACAGGTTTTCTTGAAACCATTTCATCTCCACATATAGAGTGAAAACAAAAGGGTAGGGGATCAAGATGATTTCTCCATGTTTGAATTTCAGGTGGGAAACTCTCTCCCACTTGCTTTTATCTGGGAAATGGTGCTAAGGAGTGAGGACAGATGACAGCTGCATTCCCTGAGGACTACTTTAGGGACTAGATTCCCCACCCCTTTCCATGACCCACCCTCCAAACTGCATATGATTCTATTGTTTCCACTGGAATCTACAATGGGAGCTATAGCTCATGATAGCCAGAAAAGAAAGGATACAGGGAAACACAATGAAGTGTTCTGTAACAAAGGGCTGCAGATTGTCCAAGTTTCCCAAGACTGCACGGATGGAATCCTGAAAAAGATATGTGAAATGACTTCAATACTGTCAAATCTCATCCAATCTTTCCATTTATATTTTTCACTGCTTCTCACATACCCTGTCTTCTAACAAAACTGAACTATTTTCTATTCCCTAAATGTGCCTTCTGTCTCTCCACTTCTGTCCTTTTCCTGTTCCCTCTGCCTGAAATGGGCTCTCTACCCATCAGTACACCTGTCCATATCCTACCTTTCTTGTAAGGTATAGTTCAAAAGTTATCTCCTCCAGAAAGCTTTCTCAAGTTGTAATTAACTGTTGTCCCAAACTTCACAGTAATTAGCCTGGGGCCTCTATTACATTTCACATATATCATACACACATTTTATTTTCCTTAAGGGAGATCTAATTGAAGTTGAATACACAACTGATTTATCTTAGCATCCCTTCTCCGGTGTCTACTATAGGAGGTGATGCAGAACAAGTTCTTAACAAATGGATATGCAAATGAATAATACCAATATTTATCAATATATAGTTATTTTGCTTCTGCTTAAATCAAACCTTTTCTTCTACTCTCTTTAAATCTTAATTGATTAGTTTCTAGTTAATGGTGATTATTAGTTTATGCTAATTAAACACTTGGATATTATAAAAAGACTGCTGGATTTCTACAGGAAAAAAGTGAATTTTAGTTCCAGCTCTGTCATTTCACCTCTCCAAACCTCATTTTCCTCCTGTTTGGGCTCTCAGAAGTAAGAAACTGTGTCATTGGCTGGGCTCAGTAATGCACACATATAATCCCAGTGACTTGGGAGGCTGAGGCAGAAGGCTCACAAGTTCAAAGCCAGCCTCAGCAACTTAGCAAGGCTCTAAGCAACTTAGTGAGACCCTGCCTCAAAAAATATATATATATAAAAGACTCGGGATGTGGCTCAGTGGTTAAGTGCCCCTGGATTCAATCTCTGGTACCCCCTCATCCCCCAAAAGAAAGAAACTGTTGTTGTTTATCTTTGTATTCTCTGTAGGAGCATGGTGTCTTGCTTATAACAGCTAATTTTATTCAATAATTACTATGGCAAGTGATTGTTTATATATATGTATCAACTTAACACTCATAAACTCTCTATGAGATAGGCAGCTCTATTATTCCCATTTTGCAGATAAAGAAACAGAGATAAAGAGAGGTGAAAAACACTTATTCAAGATTTACCAGTTGGTCTGCGAATATTCTCGCTGTTCTGATTTTTGTAATAATCAGGGCAGGCTAAACATTCGCTATATTAAGGCCATGCATGGTGTCCCCAGACCTAGTTCTTTCCCGGGGCCTGGTTTTATAAGTGCTGGTGATAAACCCAATCTGATTTACAATATGATCATTTTGTATGACCATACTATGACTATGATTCTACATTATCTTGATCCACCTTTTGAAAAATGATAGTACAGCTAGTGGGGTAACTTGCAAATAATCAATACTAAGTTGCAGACTTGTCTAAAAGAACATGTAAACAAAATACAGAAATTTTCTTACTACCAGTTGCCATTAAATGTATTGTAAAATTACTGTTTTTATTTTCTAGGTGATTCTGATATCATTAGAAGCATACCAGAACAGACTGGTGAAAAGTAAAATGTGTAAAATTTTTCTTTAATAAAACTTGGCAGAGTGTGTTTTAAAAACAAACAAACAAAAAAAAGATTTAGCCAGTTGGAAATGATGGAGCCAGGATCTAAGCCCAAGCAGCAGGGCTTCAGAGCTCACACTCTTAACCATTAGACTAGATCACCTCTCAATAAATATTCGTTGACAATAAATAAATGAATGTAAGACAATGATAACACTGCCCCCAAACTAATGAAAGTAAGACAAAGAGAAGATGTAAAAAGCACCTTGAAAAAAAGTGTTTTGTTTTACGTTTTTTAGTTGTTCTTTTATTTGACAATAGATGACAATAGATCTTTTATTTATTTATATGTGGTGCTAAAGGATCAAACCCAGGGCCTCACCATGCCAGGCAAGTGCTGTACCACTAAGCCACAACTCCAGCCCCCTGAAATTCTTTTTTTTTTTTAAAGAGAGAGCGAGAGAGCAAGAGAGAGAGAGAGAGAGAGAGAGAGAGAATTTGTAATATTTATTTTTTAGTTTTCGGCAGACACAACATCTTTATTTGTATGTGGTGCTGAGGATCGAACCCAGGCCGCACGTATGCCAGGCGAGCGCACTACCACTTGAGCTACATCTCCAGCCCCCCCTGAAATTCTTAATACAATATAGAAATATATGTAAATACTCTCTGGCTACTACTTATAGGGCTACTGGTAGGCACTGCATACATCTATTCCTAATCCTTACCACAATCGTGAAAATAGGCATCACTTATTAACCTTATTTGATAGGTAAGGGAACAGACTTAGAAAGAGTAAGTAACTTGCCTCAAGTCACATACCTATGTTTGAATAGAACAACTAGATTTCAAATTCAGGTTCTCAAGTCTGTGCTCCCTCCACCCACTATGCTGTCTTGAGCTTTTCTCTGTCCAAATTAATTGAAGCAAAGTAACATAAAGTTTGCTCTGCTCAGAATTTTAAAAAGCAGAAAAATTTCACGGTTCTATATGGAAATAACTGTTATTTATAATGATGTCCTTGAGGCCTTGTAAAATCCTAATGTATCTTTTAACATGTAGCTTGAGAGCCACAGGAACTTTTAAGGCTATGACTTAAAGATATGCTTTCTTGGAGTTCTGTGGTAAAGTGCATTTAATAAATTATAATTCTTTGCAATGTGGAAGTACATCTTAGTAAGTCACTTGTCCTAAATCCCTGAGTTGTGAAGTTAGAAGAGGATAAATGAGTTCTGACCTCTTGTTTTACAGATGAGGCAATTGGAATCCAGATTGGCAAATGATCTGCCAAGGGTCACACACTAATAAAGTGTGACTAAACCAGGACTAGACTCTAAAGCCCCCAGAATTCCAACTCATCCAATGCTTTCACCAATTTACAAAACTGCCCACCTGCTCAGTTGTCTTTTGGCTGGAAAGCCTAAAACTAGAGGAGCTGGGTAGAAAAGGAATGAAAATGAAATGGGAATAAAGCAACTGCAAATGTTTCTAATTAAAATAAAGACAGCAACCTTATCTATGTATTTACAGTTGAATTTCCTGGACGTCAAGTACCAGGCAGTGGTTGGGATGAGGTTTCCCAGAGTCCTGGAAGGTGGCAGGGCTCCTGAAGTCTTCTATGTGCCAGCCCCCACAAAAGGGTGTGTGTGTGTCTGGGAACTCTGGTGGAAACAAAGTAACTCTCAGCCTCAAAGGTGCTGACAATTCAACTAGAATTGAGAAAGGATATGGGCTTTAAATTTTCCTAGAAAAACAGTAAAGTTTCTTTGCAGAGGAAACGTAGGAGGAGAAGCCAAGTTACCAAGTGGAGTTTGTGACTCAGTTTGTAGGAAATAATTAGAAGTCTGGATGTGGATGTATCCTTGGCGGAAAGAATAACTTTCCCAGAAGTTGTCTGCTTCTTTCCTCACCTCCAGCTCCTGGATGATGACGTCCTTATTTTCTATCTCTTCTCCTCTAGAAGGTAAACAGATAAATGATGACTAACAAGGAAAGCTCTGGCAAGAACAGATTTTGGTCTACTCTTTAAATAGCTGAAGAGACATGAGTATATAACAGTTGTGTGTGCTGAGGCTGTTGCTCAGGGGGAAGAAATGATCACCTAGGTGGTGTGGTCTGAGCATGGTAAAAAGTACCAAAATGTCTTCTCGGTTGACCTGCCAAGATCTGAAATCCCTGCTGTGACAGCTAATAATTCATTAGTCCAGTTGCCCTCCAAGTGTGGTTTGGGGGGACCTTAGGGGTCCTCAAAAACTTTTTGAGGCGTGTCTAAGAGCAAATCTACTTTTATACTACTACTAAAATGTTATTTGCCTTTACAATTTTTCATTCGTACATTAATGCAAAAGCAACAATGACAAAACTGCTGGTGCCTTGGCACAAATCTAGCTAACTGCACTAAGCTGTACCAGCAATCACAGTAATTATTACTGCCTCATGGGAGAAAAAAATCCAGTTTCATATAATACCCTTGAGAAAGCAATAAAAAATAATTATAGAAAACCTCAACCCTTGACTACATCTCTTTTTTTATCTTCAAACTTTTTTTTTTTAAGAGAGAGTGAGAGAGATAGAGGTAGAGAGAGAGAGAATTTTTTAATATTTATTTTTTAGTATTTGGCGGACACAACATCTTTGTTTGTATGTGGTGCTGAGGATCGAACCCGGGCCGCACGCATGCCAGGCGAGCGCGCTACCGCTTGAGCCACATCCCAGCCCCTATCTTCAAACTTATATAAATTTATTTTAGCTGATATATAAAAACAAAAATTGTACTTATTTATGGGGTTCCATGTGACATTTTGATACATGTATGGGTTGTACAGTGTTTAAATCAGAGTAAACATATCCATCTCTTCATTTATCATTTATTTATAGAGAAAACATTCAAAATAACTTCTTTTAGCTTTTTGACATACACAGTACATGACAGTATCTTTTAAAACATGTTATGTGATAACACAGGAAGTATGCAGAAAGTTTTTCTTTTGCTTACCAGAATATACCAGGTTCAATATATAATGGCTGACTTGAGGAAAAGCACTCATGTGATTCTTTAAGTTGTCAAACTGAATGAGCTGCTTTTTCCATGAAATTATATTTTACTTGAATGATCAGCTAACAAACAAACTATGGTTGTTATTCAGACTTGGGAGTTTGATAGACATTTTCTCAAAAATGAATAAAGTGAGTATGTCAACTCAAGGGAAACAACTGACAGTATTTGTTGTCAATGGTATATCTGGGGCTCTCAAGAGAAATTTTGAATTTTGGAAAACTTCTATTCACCATTGTAAGTTTGACAGTGTCAATCTGATAAGATTGGTAGTGACATTAATTTTTTTTTATATTATATAATGAAACGTGTCAACTTTTAGAAGATCTGAGGAGGTCGGTGAATCAAAACTTTCTAGGGGCCGGGGTTGTGGTTCAGCGGTAGAGCACTTGCCTTGCTTGCGCGAGGCACTGGGTTTGATCCCCAGCACAACAGAAAAATAAACAAATAAAATAAAGCTATTATGTCCATCTAAAACTAAAAAAATATTTTAAAAAATACCAAATGACCAATGGAATTCATCATATTACAATATCATGCTAAATACAACATTCATTAAAAAAACAAAAACAAGATAGGCCAATGGATTTTAACATAAGAGTTCAAAAAGTTCACTGTTATAATTTCAGATTTCACATTGCAACTAACATTAGGGGGAAAAATACCCTACCATTTGAAAAAACCACAAACTACCACTTGTCCATGTTTTTGTTTTTGTTTTGTGATGCTGGGGATGGAACCCAGAGCCCTGTGCATGCTATATACCCCAACTCAATCAAGTTTAGATGTAGGATCAAAGAAGAATATCTATGATGATTTGAAAGGGCTATTATTATGTTTCTATCTATCTTTCCCAACTACAAATTTATGAGTTGGTCTTTTTTTTTTTTTAAATATCAACAAAAACAAAAACAATGCAACAGACTGAATGTGGAAGTAGATATGGTAATGCAGCTAACAGTCTCAGACACTAATATATTTGCAGAAATGTAAAATGATGCCAATCTTCTCACCATTTTTTTTCACTTTAGAAAATATTTTAAAATAAAAACACATGAAAACTTCATGGATATATCATTTTAAAATTAATACATTTAACAAATTTACCATTTGTTCATTTTGAAGCATATAACTCACTGGTACCACTTCTACAATGTGGTATTGTAACAGTGGTCCATTTTATGCTTTGAATATAGTCCCTGCTGCCCTGCCCCTGCAATTTATTTTAAAAATAGACATTTCTTTCTCTTCCTCTCTCCCCTCTCCTCCCTAATCTCTCCCCCTCCCTAATCTCAAGGGAGATAAGATTACCTTTTTCCCCATCCCAAGTAGAGTTATCTGTCCCAGAGTACACACCCACCACAGGAATGAAGTAATCCAGATTTGGGGGATGGCACCAGAAGATATCAGAAATGACTATCTCCCAAATTAACAAGTGAATTACAACTCCCACAGAGAACGTGTGGAATATAACCTTTGAGTCACCTCTTTAAAAGCCCCCTGTTCCTGCTGATGGGCAGAATCACAACCTTTGGGACAGGAGTCCCTGTGTTTCTCCTTTACTAGCAAAGCAATAAATCTTCTTCTTCCTTTTTCTCAAAACTGTATCCTTGGGACTGGGATTGTGGCTCAGTGGTAGAGCGCTTGCTTAGCATGCGTGAGGCACTGGGTTCGATCTTCAGCAACACATAAAAATAAAATAAAGGTATTGTGTCCACCTACATCTGGAGAATAAATGTTTAAAAAAATGTATCCTTGTTATTGGATTGGCACTGGGGACAAAGATTGAGCTTTCGGAAACAGTATGACCATCACTACTATTTCCAAAATTTTCTATCATCCCAAGCAGAAACACTGCTCAAGCATTAAGTCTCCATTCTTCCCTCCTCTCAGCCCCCATGTCCTCTAATCTACTTTCTGTCTCTGAATTTCCATTTCATACAAATGGAATCATACAATATTTGTCCTTTTGTGATTGACTTTTTTTTCACTTAACATATGCTTCAAAAAATTATCCTCCTTATACGTATATCACAACTTCATTCTTTTTTGCAATTTCTTTTTATGGACTACAGATAATCCATTGTGCATATATACCATTTTTTTATTCATTTATTCACTGATGGACACTTGGGTTGTTTCCACCTTCTGGCTACTGTGACCAATGCTGCTATGAGCATCATTGTACAAGTTATCCGAGTCTCTGTTTTCAATTCTAGGAATATAATTGCTGGTCATATGGTAATTATGTTTTAAATTTTTGATAAACTGCCAATCTGTTTTCTATAGCAGCTGCACCATTTTACATTCCCACCAGCAATTTACAAGGGTTCCAAATTTCTTCACATCTTTGCCAACAGTGTTACCTTCTGCTTTTTTTTTTTTTTCAGCCATGCTGGCAGGTATATTGTGGTTTCGATATGTATTTCCCTACTGATTAATGATATTGGGTATCTTTTCATAAGCTGCTGGCCATTTGTATATCTTCTTTGGAGAAATGCCTATTCAAGCCCATTGTCTGTTTTCTAGTTGGATTGTTTATTTTTCTGTTGTTTAGTTGTAAGTGTTCTCTATATATTTTGAATATTAAACCCTGATCAGATATATGATTTGCAAATATTTTTTTCCATGCTGTGGGTTGCCTTTTACTCAGTTAGGTACTTTTTATTAGATCCAAACCATAACAGAGAATCCTATAATATGCTAATCCAACAACTGGACGGCAGTCTCCTGAACAGAATGAAGACAAAGAGGGGATGAGCCTGGAAGAATATACTAATTTGGGCTTACACAGGCTAACCTCCTATCTTGAAAATTACCTGATGCTGTTGCCATATCTGATTTTGAATTTGTACACGTTGGGTCCTGCGTGAAGAAACCTCGTCTCTGGAAATGGGTAGGTAAAAGGTTTTAAACTCATTGCTTCCAAATGGTAGCCTAAATGAAGTAGAAATATTAGAGAATTATTAAAAGGGAAAATATTGTTCCTTGCATATGGGAAAGGGAGCTTATTCAATCTGTAGTATCTCTTCTCAAGTAAAATGCCCAACACTTAGTACCATTGCCCTTGTACCAGGCTCAGGTCTGCTATTAGTTATTGGGACCATTCTCCTACCCGCATGGGGAAGATTCATGGTGTGTTGGGATATCTCTGCTTGAAGGCAAAAGACCAGAATGCAAGTTTTGTTGTTTATCTTATGGCCTTGTGCAAACTACTTCTCTTCCATAGACTAATGATGCTAACATCTGCCTTGATTATTCACAAAGTTATGGTTACAATGAAACATTTCTCCCAAATATTTCTCGAATCTATTATCCTTCCCTATCCCCACTTCTCCTGGAACCTAGGTGAGTATGAAGAGGCTCAAGTTAAATAATGAGACAATTCAGAGGATACATCAATAATAGGCATAATGAGGAGGACCTCTGCCATTAATTTGAGATGAAATTAAGGAATCAGCACAGCTCCCTGACACAGCCAATGCAATAGATAAGGATGTACACACTAAGGTTTCCCTGTCTTGTAAGAAATCCCTGCCTCTCAATTATTCTTCCTCTCTATCATTTGTGAGGCTTCCCTAAGCCCCAAGAGTGCCTACTATACCCCTAGCACTACTACTTTTATTTTTCTAATTCCAGAATCTCTGACCACCTAAGTTAAATTCCACAGGGAACTCAGTAAAGGGGTAAGATGATATGGGGAGGATGGCATGCTGCTTCTCCAAGAAGGCATCTGCATGTGCTCAAAGGTACACTATGATTTTTGTCACTAGGGCTTTGTTGTGACACTTTATAGAGATAATAAACCTTGCATTCCTTTTGTCTCTTCATATGGAAATTTAAATAATGAGTAGAGAAAGAGGTCTGGAATTCTAAAGGATCAAAGCTACCTGTATACAACACAAGGTATTGATTTCAGAGAGAGCTGAGATAGAGTAAACAGAATAGGTACAATGTAAGATGAATCTGAGTTTGAATCTCAGATCCAGTGACCCCTTTAATTTCTCTGAGCCTTGGTTTTCTTACACAACAACAAACAACAATGACTTTTTTTCTTTTTTTTTAAAAGTCAGGGGTTCACTATATTGTCCAGGCTGCCCTGAACTCCCTGGGCTCAAGCAATCCTCACACCTCAGTCTCCCAAGGAGCTGAGATTATAGGAATGTACCACTGTACCCAGCTAACAACTTTTGCCATGCCCTATTCTAATTGCTGTATATATTATCTTATTTCATCTTCACAAAAAAATTATGAGCTAAGTAGTCTAAGTTTGATAAATGAGGAAACTGAGGCACTGAGAGTTGAAGTGACCAGCACATAGCTATGAATATTGGAATCTGGATTCAGACTTAAGTATAGATCCATTAACTACTCTGCCAGTGGAATATCTGGGGAATATTAGGAGGAAAAACAAGTTAATAAACAAAATAATTTTGCAAGTAGTAAAATATCATTCACACATAAAGGACTATTTCCATTATTCTTCCTTTCATATTACCCTAATGTCATTTCTACTTTGCAGGGAAAACTCTTGTATGTTGAAGTCAGCAGATCTTTGGGCCCAAAGAATGGAATTTCCCATAGTTTCCAAAGTTTAAGTCTGGGTTGCCAGTAAGGAGAGACTCCAGGGTCTGATCTCGGCTCTGTGGGATTAGAATGAAAGGAGAGTGGAGCCAGAATTCATGGGACTATTTAGACTAAAATTTCAGTCAAAACTAAAAAGTAGTTGATGCCAAGTCCAAAGTCGCTGGAGTGGAAATATTGTTTATATCCTAAGAAAAAAACTTGCTGATGCCCTTTGTCCAGGGTATAGCAGGAGCTCAAATCTAGATTTGATATAGTTTTGGTGCCAAATGAGTTTTCTATGTAGTAGGCAGGGAGCTACCTGGTGAGACTTAGTTGCTGCCACAGAATTTTAGCCCTGTTATTCAGAGTTCTTCTAATATGTAGTCACCTGGGGCCTGGGGGCATCAGAGCAAAAGAAATGAAGAACATTTGCTGGATGTGACAATCTAGAGAGGAAATGTCACGTGCTACACCATAGCTGGCTGTTTGAAAGAAGAAAAAACAACCTACTTCTAGCTGGGGCCTGTTCCTGTTAATTGCTGGCTGCCCACTTCAGAAACAAACAGCACACGCTAATTACCTCGTGAAAATAAAGATTAGACAGCATAATCCAAAACAACAACATAGTAGTAATGGTTCAAAGATTTCACAGGATTATTTTCCAACATTTTCTACTGTAGCCATGGTGACATTATGTCCCAGTAATTGAGTTGATATTACCTTGCAGAAAAAGGTCAGATTCTAGACCCATTTTTAGGTGACCACAAATCATGATGGCTTTTTAAGTAAATGAAGAGAAATTATAGAAGAATGGGATGGTGCAAAAGACATAAGATTTAAAATTGGAAGACCAAGGCTTAAGTTCTACTTTTGCCCCTCATTAGTCATTAGCAAATCAATTAGTCTTTTCATTTCTTAGTTTCTACATCTACAATGGGAATTGCACCTACCCCTGGACTGTTGAAGGAATTAAATAAGATAATGTAGTAAGCAGCTACTCCACAAATTCCGGAGTATAATATAAAATACCAGCTATTATGATAGATTTGAAGAGTTTCTTTCTGAATGCTTTACAAGAAAAGTGAATCCAAGAAAGCAAAGTTGATTAGCTTTAACCTCAGTGCAAAAATCTGACAGATCCAGCCTAGAACCTTTCCTTGAAAATACACAAGTATTGGGCTGGGGATGTGGCTCAAGCAGTAGCGCGCTCGCCTGGCATGTGTGCCGCCCAGGTTCGATCCTCAGCACCCCATACAAACAAAGATGTTGTGTCCACTAAAAAATAAATGTTAAAAAATTATCTCTCTCTCACTTTTTTTTAAAAAAAAGATGAAGATTCATCAACTCTAAAAAATCTTTAAAAAAAGAAAATACTCAAGTATTAGATTTAAAAGACACACAGAGCCAGGCATGGTGATGCACACCTATAATCCATTACTTGGGAGGCTGAGGCAGAAGGATTGCAAGTTTGAGGCCAGCCTTGGCAATTCAGTAAGACCTGGTCTCAAAATAAAAATTAAAAAAGGGCTGGGGATGTAGCTCAGTGGTAAAGTGACCCTGAGTTCAATTCCTGGTATCAAGGGAAAAAAAAAATGAAAGTAACAACTTCCACAAAGTCACATAATCCAGTACGGACCCAGGAATAGTCCCTCAAGATTGTCAACCCTTCTGGTCTCTGCATTTTCCCATTACAACCTATCACCTTGTCATTTTAATCTATAACCTGTTCACACTCATGACTAAGGATGATCCCAGGCAAATTCATTCTGGACAGAGATATTGAAACAAAATATGAACTTTTCTGATGAATGGTTCATAGGATTATAATTTGGAATGTAAACTCTTATATTCACATTTTTTGTCTTCAAGCTCCATTTTCAAAAGGAACTATTCTGTTTCTTCACAATGTAGGGTGATAAGGATAACTAATAAAATAATGCATGTATAATTGCTCACTGAAGTACTTAGCACATAGGTTACCCAATAAGGAAGTCATATGTGTGTATGTGTATATATGTGTATATGTAATATATAACACATATAATATATACACACACACATATATGTGTATATATTTTGCATGGGGGGGGGCGGTGGGTACAGGAGTTGAACCCAGGGACTTATTCTTGCTAGTTAAGTGCTTTACCACTGAACCACACCCCAAGCCCAATAAATTTTTTTTTTAAACAAAAGCATTAAGATACAAGATAGAAAGAGATTGATGAGGCTACTTCCAAGCTTACTGACATCATTCTGTTTTCTCAAAGATTTTCTCCCCCTTTCTGGTAAGATGTAACCTTTAAAATGCCACTGGCATTCGTGCAGGAATAGATTTGCCCTTGGACCTGTTTCAGGTTTTGTTTTGGGGAGGAGGGAGAGTAATTAAACTTAATAGGAAGAGAACCCTCACATGAAATCAAAAGGTCTTAGTGGACATCTCAATAAACCAGAAATGGATCTAAATTAACCTCTTAAATTACTCTTCACACCTAAGTGCATCTTCTACTTCCATCTTAACCCTAAAAGTTAATGAAAAACGTGCTTTGGTCAATAGATCCAGGATTGTGCTCTTTATCCAAAAAAGCAGTGGTTCCTCATCTCAAGACCCACCTAGCAGTTGTGACTTGTCACATGAAAATCATCAACCACTGCATTAGCATTCACACCACCCTGAACTCACTAAGAATCCTACCAACCCCAGAAACCCAAAAGGCATTTGGATGTAAAATTGCAGGCAGTGAGGGACATTTTATTTTATAGTTATACCACTGGGTGACCTGCCCTGAAAGATTACATGTAGGGAGAAGATTAAAAATGAACAGGAAGCGGGGCTGGAGTTGTGGCTCAGTGGTAGAGCACTTGCCTCATACACGTGAGTCCCTGAGTTAGATCTTCAGCACCACATAAAAATAAATAAATTGGGCTGGGGTTGTGGCTGAGCTGTAGAGTGCTCACCTAGCACGTGTGAGGCTCTGGGTTTGATCCTCAGCACCATATAAAAATAAATAAGTAAAATAATGGTATTGTGTCCAACTACAATTGAAAAATAAATATTTAAAACAAACAAACAAATAAATAAATAAAAATAAAGATATTGTGTCCATCTACAAGTTTTCTAAATGAAAAGGAAAAAAAAGCAGTATCAATAGTTTCAAAAGGGCAAGTGGTGGAAAGAATATCCTCAGTTGAAGAGAAAGGAAGCATCTTTTACAACGTCAAGCTATAAACTGAGCCTCTAATATACATACCTCAATTGTCTTAGTGGCAGAAGATACAGGGAAGTGTAAAAAGAAGCCTCCAACATATACTTTATTCTTGGCATGAAACAATGGTAGATTCTGAGGAAATTAATAA